TATATATATCATAGTCTATTAATAGAAATGCCAATTAAATAAAATAGTCATTCATTATGCCTATTTATATCAAAAAACAGCAATTACAGGTAATGGGCAGGACCTGCTAACTGCGCCTGATCCCAACTGCATCGATGCATGAATTGCTTTTCGTAATTAGACATTGTCATGCATAAAAAATGCCACCAGTATTTAATATTGGCGTAATCTGAGGTTGATTAAATTCAATTATGATCTAATAGCGTTACATTAATGTCTGTAAACGCGGCGAACAAGAGACTAGTAATACAAGCAATTCTTCCTGTTAGAACACTAGTAATATAAGCAACGCTACTAGTATAGAAACCTGTGAGTCCTTACCTCCGATAAGGTTTCGTTCGGCGGCAGAATGTACTCGCGGGCTTTGTGTGAGTTTTTCATCTTCTGCTCGAGCACAAGAGAACAGTTCTCCGCACACTTGATGGAGAGTTTCTCTTGTAGAGATACCATTACGTCCTACAGGCAAGAAATACAGCGCGTCCTCATGATGTGGCACGACACTTGTCAAGCAACCCAAGATCATCGTAATGTGCGTGCGAGCGCTGGTGTCCGTGCCTGTGTCCGCGTGTGTGTGTGCGTGTGTGCGTGTGTGCGTGTGCGCGCGGGGGGGGGGAGTGCGTGTGTGCGTGTGTGTGTATGTCTTTACGTTTGTGTGTGTGCGTCTGTGTGTGTATATGTGTGCGTGTGCGCGCGCGCGTGTTCGTGTGTGCGCTCGTGTGTAAATGCATACACCGACATGAACATGCGTGCATAACAAAACAATCCCCATTATAAGTAATTATTTTCTCATTCGCTAGGATTTCTTTGGAGCTGCGATGATTATACATAATAACTGTCTGACTGAGCAAACAAAGCACGAGCATAGCGGAGGAACGACAGCCACCACAGCCCGGAGGCGCAGAAGGGAGAAAACCGATCTGCATCATTATACATCGCATGCATGAGGAAATTGTACAAGAGTCCATGCACACAACCGGCGTTTCTCTCCTTGCCTCAGCCCCTTCTCCCTTTATATATGTATATATATAGTAAGGGAGAACAATATGTGTGCGTGTGTGTGTGCGTGTGTGCGTGCATGCGTGCGTGCGTGCGTGCGTGCGTGCGTGCGTGCGTGTGTGTGTGTGTGTGGACGTGCTGGCGCGCACGCACGTGTACGTATATACACTTGCGAAAATTCCGCGCGCAGTAGCGCCCTCTATCATTAGACAGTACGTACCTTCACGGAGGTTAGCTTGTCGTATTTGAAAGATTTCGTTTGTCCGTTTTCGAGGAACACCTTCAGCACGTTAGGCATGAACGGTATGCAGCTCTTGTAATTAGATGGCTGCGCGGGTGAATGAAAGTAATAATGTTTCTTAGACATGGCACAGTAAATTGGATCATTAGCATGAACATCGTCGCTTTCCCACGGTAATGATTAGTTCTTTTATAACATACGTTACGGTTAAGACTACTATTGCGAGTATATAAACTGAATCCGACAATGAATCCTGTCTCCAGTGTTCCTGACTTACATCTTGTATGAGAGGAGAGCCATTGACAGCAACAACGCCCGCGAATCTTACGGAGCGAGCGTTGCCGCCGGGTTTCTTCTTGCGCTTGGCAGCCGTTAGGAGGTTCGAGTTGATGTTCAGCTGAATTAAGAGATAAAATGCTCGCAATCAGTTGCAGTAACAGTGCTGACGTGTGTAGCAGCGCGCCTCTACTGGTCTATCTAAAACCGCCGTCACACCAGGCCCCGATCTCACTACGCTCGTACTACGCTCTAAGAGCGTGGTGGAAACGCGTAGAACGCAGTATGAACGTCTATGGACGTACTGCGATCGCGATCGAGCGCGGTGCAGTCACCATGAGCGTGGAGAGCGTGGCCAAATTTTGAGCACGTTCGAAACAATCGTGGTGTGAGCGTGGCGCGCGTACGATTGTACTACGCCCAACACGCTCAGACCACGCCGCTGTGGCGTTCGCATTACGTGTTAGTTGCGTCAATACCACGCTCAGATCACGTCCTGCGAACTTGGGGTATAAATTGGGGTGCTACCCTGGCCACCCCGCCAGTTCAGTGTCCACTATGGATGAGGCAACATACTCCATGCCATGTTTCTCGTAAAAGGACAACTCGAATTAGCCTATTTGATTGCCATATATGCCCTCATCATGCTGAGGAGGATGAGAAGAAGAAATAGAAGACAACGACGGATCTTGCTGGGTGCGTCCGTGGCTTTCGGTAGAAAGACGACTTTTCTATGGTCACTATGATCGCTTCATGGCTGAGCTCCGCATGGATTAAGTCGCACTAGGAGCGTGACTGGAGCGCAGTTGAGGCGCGGTGAGCGTTGCTTAGGTGCAGTAAAAGCGTCGTTTGAACGCAATGCGATTGGATTGGTCGCAATAAAGACGCAGTGGGCGCAGTGCAAGCGTGATCCGGGCGTGGTGTTGAGCGTGGTATGGAGCGTGGTGAAAGCTTGTTGGGTGCAATGAGATCGAGGTAAAAGGCCTGTCACACCTACCCGCGATCACGCTCGCGCTCCCACTGCGACCTGAAAAGTATCAAAGCGCGAGGAAAAGCGCAGTAAGGTCTCTGAGAACGAGTTGGTGACGCAGTAAAAACTGTCAAGGACGGAAGAGGGTCGCCATGAGCAACCTTGAGCGCCAAACCTCGGCGCTTGTGTAGTTTCGAATCAATACAAGCGCAGCGGGTCGGCGCTCTGATAGAGCAGTGTAATGACGCAGTACAGTCGCCGTGGCAGCGCAAAGCGAACTACATGAGCGTATCGTGGACGTAGCAATAACGCATAGAAGCGACTGGGGGTCGCAGAAATCGTCCCCTGCGACTGGTTTGCGACTGCTCATTGGGCTCTCCATACGTGCCTCTCCCGTTCTTATTGCGCCGTTACTGCGCTTCCACTACGCTTTATGGGCTTGTTTCCGTCCACACTGCGCTGCCACTGAGACTATGACGCTCGTAATACGTCCAAGGCGTTGTTCCGACGTTTTCAATAGGTTCACAGTGCGTTCTTATTACGATCCCACTTCCACTGCCCCCCACGCACACATTTTTGTATAAATACAGCTTCATCTTCTATACACAATCAGTGTGCATCTGCTCTTCACCAGCGAGAGCGACTTGGACGCATTGAGAGCGCACAGAGCGCACTGAGAGCGCATTGAGAGCGCACAGAGCGCAGTGGGAGCGCATTGAGAGCGCACTGAGCGCAGTGGGAAAACAAAGCGCATTGAGAGCGCACTGAGCGCAGTGGGAGCGCATTGAGAGCGCACTGAAAATAAAACTGGGAACGCATAGGGTCGCAGTGAGAGCGTAATAAGCGAGTTAAGAGCGTACTGTAAGCTACTGTTAAGCTACCTGGTGTCATGGATTTCACAATTTTCGGCGGTGTCACTGCACTTTGGTGCGCCTTGGTAAAAAATTGCAAAGTCCGGGAGCGCAACGCGGTCGCCGGCTCCCACCCTGTAGGTGTGACATCGTCATAAAGACGCACTTAGATCGTAGTATCGGCGCTGGGGCCCTGTAGGGCTCACCACGGTCGGCCACATTTTTTGAGCGTGGGACGATCGTGATGAGCGTAGCTCTAGTGTGACGGGGTAACCAGTAAACCAACTGCTATTCACTGTTACACACGTGACACGTGTATATCGCAGCGCGCCTCTGCTGTTCTATCTAACCAGTAAACCAAATGCTATACACTGTTACACACGTCTGTAGCAGCGCGCCTTTACTGTTCTATCTAACTAGTAAGTCAATTGCACACATACTACAATATATATACTACATACTACAATATGTAACAGCTAGTACTATACACTGTTACACACGTAGTTAATAATCTTACTGGATACACACTGTTGCGCATGTAGCTAGCATACGTTAGGGCAGTGAAATATACGTGTTGTTGCTTGAGTAAACACAGAACCCGTTTTTGTAAGCATCATAACCACATGTGGGTGACATGAGTCAAAAACGTCACAGCTTTTGCACGACATTTCACTTCATGAGCTACGAGATTGAAGATTGAGTTTCTGACAGCGGGCCCCGGAGGTCTTTAATACTTATAGGTTAAATCCACCGTTATTTATTATGCCACTTAACTCTTTAGCAGTAGTACCAACAATACAAACAGCATGAGAATTACTCGTCCATGTGTACTCTGCTAATACCAGTTCCAGAGTAAAGCCGTGTAAAAATCCCACCACGCTATTTACACGGTAAATTAGGAACACGGCAGTTGCAATTTTTGCTAGCGACAGTAGGGCTTATACCCTCAACGCTGTGGCGATATTATGAAACTTCGCTGTATCACAGAAGGTCGTGTTAACGACTTGTTCTATATCTACGCTCTCGTTGATTAAATGTTAGCATTTCTGGGCTAGCATTCAGCGAATTATCCTTCCGCCCACGTTAGGATGTACTTTTTTAGGTTTAGGAATTTTACTGGCGACAGTAGGGCTTATACCCTCAACGCTGTGGCGATATTATGACGACGAGGCACAGAAGGTCGTATTAACGGTCGTATTAATGTCTTAAACATACATACGTTCTTGTTGATTGAATGTTAGCGCATTCCTGCGCTAGCATTCAGCGAATTACCCCCCCCCACCCCACACACACACATGAGAAAAAGGTAGATCTCCGCTGTGAGGTCACGTAATGAATGCGCTTACGTTTGGCTGGCAGACGGTGAGAGTGAGCGTCTCGCCAGAGGACAGCACCAGGTTGATCACGTGCTCTCGCGCCACGTGCTTCACGTCTTCCTCGTTAATCTTGAGAATCTGATCCTGAGCCATGAGCTTTCCCACGCTCGGACCACCTGTATGAGCACGCCATTCAAAAATAGGCGCCGTAAATAATCTCGTGGTTTTGAAATGTCATTAAAATGTGTATTGAAATCTTATGCATTGGTCATTATTTTAACGGATTATTTAGCTTCATAAATAATTATTAGTTTTATGATATATAGTGTTAGTGATTATATTTTAACGTGAAAATGTATACTTTTTTTATACGTATATAATGTATATACTAGCATACTATATTAATTTTTACAAATATAAATTTCGCAAAAAAAGTAACATAGGGATTTTAAGTTATTTAAACCAGGCGTGACGCATCGTACGATGGCAACAAGCTTACCAGGCGTGAAACATCGCACGATGACAACAAGCTTACCAGGCGTAACGCATCGCACGATGACAACAAGCTTACCAGGCGTGACACATCGCACGATGACCGGCTTCTCACTTCCAGCGACGAATCCGAAGCCGAGCTCGCTGTGACGTCGCAGCACGACCTCTCGCGGCGTGATGTCTGCCGTGTCGTCAAGCAGCGCGGGAGACTGCCGCGGGTCGTCGTAGCTCGTCTGCTGGTTGACATGACTGCAATGCGGATAAAGCATGTCAGAATACGCACACGCGCACGAGCACACGCGCACGAACACACACACACACGCGCACGAACACACACACACACACACACACACACACACACACACACACACACACACACACACACGTGTATTTCGTCCAAAGTTCTGCCAATCATTCGCTTATAGCGTTTAAAACGAAACAAACGTGACACACGCACGTGCGCGTGCGCATGCCCATGAGCACACGCATACGCACACTCACCCACCCGCGTACGCACGCGCGCACATACTTATGCATGCGCGCACATGCTGTCTGCAGTTAACTCACGAGGGGAGTACATCTCTCAGTTTTAACATACACCGTCTGGGGTTAATAACTAGCTAAGTGTATGTCCAAATCACAAGACACGCTCCAGTCAATCTAAGAGATGTGTATGTCTAGACTCTAATACATGACGCGAGTACGTGCGCGTGTGCGTGCGTGCGTGCGTGCGCTTGCGGACGGAGGTGTAAGTATGTCATATGTGGTTCGTTTTCACGCTATAAGAAAATCAGTGGACTCAATGGCTCTTATGTCCAGACACAATAGGACAAGCTTTGATAGCGTGCCGCTCTGATATATTATACCTGCATGGGGGTCTGGTCCGCGGACACTCTGTCAACGAGGTTATAAACAGACAAACAGGTCCAATGGTATGTCGTCACAACGGTCGAGGTTAACTCGTCGACAAGCACTGCTCGAGGGGGAAATACTTGTGGCGTGTGATTAAAATCAAGGAAATCGATGTGTGTTTGTAATTCACTCGCGGGCAAAATGTTTGTGATGTTGTATTTGTCCGTGGCGTGTCATTAATTTTCGTGCCCGGCAAATGTTATTTTGCCTCATGAAAATATATGTGGTGTCATTTTGTTTTTGTGTGTGAAAGACTGACGGCGCTGGTGTTACGGTGAAATAGCGGTGGCGTCATTTTACGTGGTAAGGGGGATGTAAGGTTAGACGGATTATAGTTGGGGGAACGCTTCTCGTGCCCTACTTGGGAGAATATTCTCGGTGTCATATTACTTTGCGGGTGGGGATTTCTTGGTGTTACTGCAGTCGTGACCTTTCTGTGTAGATTTGCGACCCCTCGCTATAAGTATCATTGTCGACCATAATTATACACTTCAGGTCATCGACGGCGCCGCAAGATCAATGCTCTTGCTCTCTGCCGTCACCTCTCGTCATGACGTTCACACGCGTACTCGGTTATCGCCGTGCTCAGTCCACGCAGTCCGCGGCGACAACGCACTGTTGATGTTGTTTTTAAATTCTTTTTAACTTCAAGCCACCAGGTCGAGTGCTCGTGGTACAAGGCTAATAGGCTACAAGTGACTTTCGACGAGGGTAAACGCAATGTCACTGCACCATAACAAATAGACGGACGCTCGTACGCTCGAACGGAGAATCGACGCGGGAACTTGTGCCGTTGCAACGATGAAATTATCGCACAAATCTCACCGCGCCTTTATGCGGTCTACGTGTCGTGTGTGCGCGTGCGTCAGTCTGTGTGTCGCGTATGCGCGTGCGTCCGTCCGTGTGTCGCGTATGAGCGCGTGACTCGGTCGGAGTCCGGCGGCCGTGGCGCCGGTGACAAATGACGGAGCTCAGATTGTCACACATGTCTGCGTGCGTCGTTAGTGTCGCCGAACGAAAACTAAATAGAGAGAACATGGAATGCGACATGCTAGGGAACATAATGCACGCACGCAAACAAGCAGGCACGCATAGCCGCTGGCATGTACACCACCCGCACGTACGTTTCGTTCATATGCACGTAGACACGTACTCACACGCAACCACGCACGTCGCGTGCGTGAGATTGTGACACGTCCATCGTTCGTCGCGAATAATTTTGCACTAATGTCGATTCTATGAGAACAACGCTTTGATCACGACGAACGCCCCGCTACAAGACCGATTTCAATGCAAGACAAGCACGCCAGGCATGTACGTTACCTATACCCCCTCTCTCCCCGCGTATGCTTATAGAAGTCGCATTCTTCACCCATGCATGTATGATGTATCTATATACGCACGCGAACCGCCGGCACCATAGCCTGAACCACGGCATATAATACATTCGCCTCTAGTAAATTTCTACATAAACCCCCAATGAACCACAACCAGGGTCGAAAGATTGGAACTGTTGAATTAGGAAGAATATGGCTATGGTTCTTCCTGGACGTCCATGAGGGTACTCTGCTTTATAAAATACAACAAACGTATTTACCAATATACATGTTGGAAGATATAGAGCGTGTAGGCTATCATAACGGGAGTGCACACTAAACAAACAGAGATATATCTATATTATTCGAGATAGATTAATCTATATTTTATATAACTTTTATATTTTATATTATAACAGAGAGAGAGCACGAGTGATTATCACTATATTATGCACGTCTAATCTCATCGCACCGGTGCGCACCGCAACAACTACACAGTTCTATAAATATCACGTCGCCTCCCTCACACACGCACGCACGCACGCACGCACGCACGCACGCACGCACGCACGCACTACGCACACACACACACACACACACACACACACACAC